GCTCAATGCGGGAGGTGTCCTCCCGTGAACAATGCCCTTCGGGGCTTGGCCTGAGGCAGCTCCTTAGGAGCCTGCTGGCCGGCGTCCGGCCAAGGCTTTTAATTCGGTGCATGCGCAGACAGCCTATGGCAGCTTGAAGCAGCGAGCGAGAAAACCCGGAACCCTAGTGACCCTAGGGCAGCTTTCGGGTCGGCAGGGGCGGGTGCGTGTAAGGATCTTAGGTTTAGCGGTTTTGGGTTAGGATTTAGGGGCTTAGGGTTTAGGGGAATGCGCTTTCAGGGTTTCCGTCGCCTTTCGATGTCTGGAGCCCCAGAGCGCCAGGCTTTCGATCTATGACTTGAAGTCCAGCAGCACGAGCCCGATGAAGCCCGGCACTCTCGGGCCCAAGGGGCTTCGAAGCCCGAAAGGGTAAGTATGCCTTCCTAGGCGGCTTAGTGCTGCAGTTTGTGGGCGGATTCTGTGTGATGGCGGCCGGCTTTAAAACTCCGGAGACTTCCGCTTCAGGATTTTGGGCTTAGGGCCCCAAGCCGAAGGGTTGGAGTTTTTTTGGGCCACCATGCTTCTTTCAGCATTCAGAGTCTTGCATCGGAAGGATTCAACGTGCCGGCCCAGGCTCTGACTCAAAAGAAAAAACGGCTCGAGGGACCATTAGCTTGAAATCTGGACTAAAGAACAAAGCCCTAACCCCCCAGGTACCTACTATTTAGGGTACTAGAGCCCCTAGGCCCCTATATTGTAGGTACCTGGGCGGTTAGGGAAAGGTTTAGCAAAAAGGGTAGTTGGCTCTTTCGTCCGGCATTGTCAGGGTTGGATTCCTCGATTGTAGTGAGTCAGCGTAGTGTGGCTAGTCAGACGCGGAGCGACGCTTTTCGACGCCCTGCAGCTGCGACCAGGGGTTGGGGTTTTGTAAGGGTGGGTTTCTGTTGGTGGTCGGGGGAGGGGCTAAACGCCCTAAACCCTAGTGTGCGAGAGTGAGAGTCGAAACCCTAGAGCATTGATCTCAGCCATGCTGAGAGGGGGAAAAACGCCTAAAAACCCTAAACAGGGGGGTGGCTTGCTGTTGCTAGCCAGTGTCTTTCCAGTTGTTGTGTAGCTTCTGAGCCTTGCCTTGCCTTGTGCGAGAGTCAAAGCTGAGGAAGACAATGAAGCCCCTGAGCGGTGCGCTGGGATCCACCCGCTTTGTGCTCTTGGCCAAAAGCTGACCGGTTAGGTTTCATTAGAGCAGCAGTCTTGCTGCCAGCATCAATATTACTGTCATCGCTTTTTGCTACGATTGTTATGAACAGAGACCTGTCGGCACCCAGACTTGCTGGAAGATTCGCTTGCCCCGCCTTTCAAGCTCCTGCTTCGAGGTTTCAGCCATGACAGGTTTAGGCTTACTGCCATCCGAGAGCCCGAGAGAAGTGCTGCCTTGTCTGAGGTGGCAGTCGCCTTCTCGGTGGTCTCACAGGAGCCCCACACGTAAGTCGGGAAGGGGGGCACTAGCCGCTATAGCCTTCCAGTGACTGTGCTAAAGACGCCTTGAAGGAGGGAGGCCCGCCGCGGTATCTTTGTGCGGTCACGGCGGGTTCAGAGCCAACTTTGGTTCTGATGAACTGGGAGTCAGAGAAGATCCTGGCAAAGTGCAAGCTCCCTGGAACCGTGGATCGTGTAGCTTTCCCCTTCCAGCACGACCGCACGGATGTCACAGTGTCCGGGCCGCACATGCTTCGGCTACTGCAGATTCGGCATGCCAAAGGCGAGGTGACCTTGAAGACGATGCCAGCGTTTTCTGGACTTCAAGAGAAGGCGGAGGCCATCCTGGATCACACCTGGCTAGAAGCAGGTCGCGGACTCCTGGGCCTCTGTGTGCACGAAGGTCCTGTCCACATCCTCAGCGCTGATGAGCTGATTCTTGGCTCTTCTGGAGGAAACTTTAGCCAAGTCAAAACAAGCACGGGGATATGCAGACAGCACTAGGCTTTCCGCAAACACGGTTATTTCGATTTTATCTTCCTGAGAACCAGTAAAGCTTTTTGATAACTGCAGTCAAGTTGCTCAAGATTCTGTGTAAAGAGTGCGCGGTGAAGTGCCCTCCCGAACCTCCTATAGGTAGTATTAGGGAGACCCCTTAAAGGGGACCCTTCTTAACGCCTATTTCTGGCTCACTTGAAAGGAACCTCGTAGAGACACCCTCAACACACCCTAAACCTGAGAGGGTCTATATCCGCAGTCCCCCTCATCCTAACTCCCGGGAGCCAGAACCGAGGATTGTGCTGCGGACGATCGAATCCGCTTTTGGGCCTGAGGGGGACCTCGAAGAGGTGCTTCCCCTTTGCATCCTTTCTGCAAGCTGTAGAGACTATAGGATGATTCTGTCGGGTTTAGATTTTTTTTGCGTTTACGGCTTCGGGGTTAGGTTTCAGGGTCTAGTCTACTGTTCTCTCAGGATGAAGTACCAAGCAGTCAAGTTCCCAAGCCTGACCAGAGAGTGTTGTGTGTGCGCGCGCGGGTGGGTGTGTGTGTGTGTGTCTTTCTGTCTGTCTGTCTGCGCCCATGTCATCGGCCTGTCGGCTTTGCCAAGATGCATTTGTTCCTCTGTCTCGGCCGTGTCCCTAACTCCTCACCCCAGGTATCCGCTCCTTCACCCACGGCTTCCTCCTTGGGGGCTCCCACGGCTACCTCGCTGTCTGGGAAGAGGCGGACGATGAAGCTTTTGCCAGCGCCCTTCGGCAGTTAAAAGCTGTCAGGTTAAAGGTAATCGCTGCATGACTGCATAGCCCTTCACAGCCCGTGTCTGCGGTGAGAGAGTTCTTTCGCAGTTGGGTGGCTCTCTGAAACCGGGTTCGTCCGTGGCTTGGAGCTCGGATGACAGTTGAGGATTGCTGCAATCGTTTCGGTCAATCTGAAACAGAATAGCTCCAGCGCGGCCTGTTTAGTTATTCAGCGCACTTGAAACGATAAGTATGTTGTTTCTGAGTCAGCAGCCCGACTCTCAACATGTAAACCCCATGAGCGCCGCGTCCTGAACTTCATGCTCTAAACTCACACCCTCAACTCGAGAGCCAAGAGGCCAGAACAGTAAACCCAATGCGTGAACTTCAAACAGGGTCATGCGCGAGCCGCATAAGCCAAACACCTCTATTCGCCCTAGTAGCTGCATGAGCACGCCCCTCCCGACCAAATAAGTAAAAGGAAGCCGAAAGGAAAAGGAAAGCCGAAAGGATTCCCGACCCAGGTTGACGATGGCTCGGAGGGATCCCGAAGGGCACCGGAGAATGAATATAAGCTCCTTTGTCCTCTTGACACCTAGGGTTCAGGGTCTAGGGTTTAGGCTTTAGGGGTCTAGGGGTTTCGGGGTTTTTATGGCTGTGAAATTTGTTCTTGGGCTGTGGGAGGTTCGGGCTTTGTGGGGAGATGGCGAGGTCAGGCTATGAGCTTTCGGTGCTGGCACCCTTACTTAGGAGCCCAATAGGTAAACTTTAAACTTTTTTGGTATACTAAACCCCTACTAAAAGAAAAGTTTAAACTTTTTTGGGCCAGGGTACTGGGCAGCTAAGCTTATAAAATGGACCCTAAAAGGGACACGAATTTACTGCACTACCCACATGTCTTACTATAAGGAAGGTTCTGCTTTCCAGTGAGCTGCTTCGATTCGTCCGAACGTTGGCCAAGGTTTCAGGGATCTTATAAGGGAAAAGAGTTTAGGGTTTAAAGATAGGGGCAAGGGTGTTTATTTGGGGTAGGGTAATTACAGCTCAGGGCCCCCAATGTTTCTCAGCCCAATCCTGCCGGCTCAATCCTCTGACCGACTCTGACCCTTCAAGCCTGTATGCAGAATCCCAAACGGGCCTGCCTTGCGCGAGTGTGTGAGTCGAAACGGGCCCCCAAACTTGCAGAACTATGCAAGTCAACTGGTCCAAGATGTGGAGTCGCTCAACAAGTAGCGCCATCAAACATGATAGGGCCGGCTTCGTAGGCCCCCTGTACTAGAAGCCCTAAATCCTAAACCCTCCCCAGTACAGTGCTGAAATCCGAGTCCGAAAGCATAGTCTACTCAAGCCCTGCAGGCTTGCAGTGGCTGTGAAGATCAGGGAAGACCCAGATGCTGTGTGCTCCCTCGATACTTTGCTCCCGGAGAGTCATGTTTTTTTGGGGGAGGGGGTGGGAATCCTGATGTTGAGGATTCCCGTTGAGGGGCCCTTGTCACATGTTGAAATATAACGATAGGCTATCTCGCATCCAGGGGAGATTCGACTACTCATTGTTGGCCAAGGTATCTGTATGGGTGTGATATGACATGTGATCTCGAAGGCTTCCACAACTGGAAAGATTCTCTTCCTTGTCAGGGACATTTCTGCATCGGGATCCAACATCTAACGGTCCAGAACAGTTCCTTCGGACCAGTGCGGAAACTTCTGGAGATTCCATGCTGCGTTTCTCTGAAACCGCAGCATAAGCGTCAACGCATGCAGCTCAGTGTTGGAGTCGGCATTGACCTGGGCATGAACTTCTTTGATGTGATTTAGACCCTTTACCCCCAATTGCTGTTTTGCAAAATGGCTCAAGTTGCCACGCCACGACTTGCTTTTCTGTCATAGCGCAACCATGATGAGGACCTCGTCTGTGCGCAGTTTCCTCCGCTTGGCCCTGATCGCGATGGCCTTCTGCCTTGCGAAGTGGGCAGCACCGACGTTTTCCATGGCTTCCGCCCCTGTGGACAACGACATGGAGATATGTTTCGGCAAGCATTGTGGCCGCCTGATTTCTCAGATTGTCGAAGAAGACCCCAGCTACCTGCAGTGGGCTCTGCGGAAGAGAGAGGACCCCAAGTCTTCCGAGCAATTGCTTGAAGTGGCAGAGTACGTTCGGGAGTATTTCCCGGAGGTCGAAGGACAAACGAAAGTGATATTTGGCAAGCACAAGGGCAAGACCTTCCAGGCGGTGTTGGAGGAGGATGAGGACTACATCTGCTGGCTCATTAACAACGTCCGGACTGCACGTGGCAACCAGGCCGCGCTGATCAGTTTCGGCAAGCAACATGCAGCTTGCTGAGGTGGCGTGGAGGTGGACCAGGTGTGAATGGGCACACCGGTCCACTTCAGCGACATCTACGAACTGAGACAGGCCAATGCAGGCCTGAAGCGCAACTTGAACCTTTAACTCTACGTCATGAAGCCGACTCAACTCTTGTGTAGTGCCTCGGACCCTTCAACGAACGAGTTCCCTGCGGTGCGACCTAGTCAGCTGGGCGGGTGGGAAAAGTTGCTGTTTTGTGTGTGCTTTGTCATCTCTCGTCCAGCCCCTGCTTCCGGCGGTCCATGACTATGCTAATGCTGAGCACACTGCCGAACACCATCAACACGTCTTCAAAAATCGAAAGCTATCGCCGTATTCCTGAAAGCTGGGCCATGGAGTTTCTCAGGACATTACCCCCAGTGAGGAGCACCTGCTGCTGGGTTTCGGCGATTCCGTCACTCGGCCGCAGGGAGTCCGGCGGAAACATACCTGCTTTGCTGTACTCCAGGTGCTGTGCTCTGATATGCCCTGCTCCACTCTGCTCTACTATACTAGACTTTTGCTAGTCCGTCTGAATCGGCCAGGTTTTCTCTTAAGAGTCCGGATAGCTGAGAGTGGGCACGTTGATTGCGAGCAGTCCAGGATAGACTCTGCAGAACTTGGATGAACTTGGAGGAGAGTGGGCAGCGCTTTAATCTTGGACATGTTTGGTCCTAATTACACTCCCCCGCGAAGTTCTCCTCTAAAGGACCGTTCCTCTGACACAGTTGGGGTGTTTGTATACTTGGTCCTACACCCTACGAACCAGAGTGAAATACTTGCGTAAGTTTATCCTGGAGAGATTATTGTCCTTAGCGCCGTGCGCTAGAAGTTCGATTTTCTTTTGTAGAAGTGCGCAATTGGGGGAATGTCTGGTTGTTACAAGCCTATCTTTTGGTAGTATAGGAACAAGCAACATGGCTTGCGCGTTGCTGTACAGGCAATGGGTGTGGTGCCGATGGCTTCGATATATGGCAACGAAGAAGAGCAGGCTTTTGGAATATGCAGGATTCTGCCTGCAATGCATTCAGAGCAGTCTGAACCGTCTGAACCATGCATGGGACCTCGCAGGCACCAACCGCAGCCCCAGCACTCAACCCTGATCCCAGAACCCCAACGTAGAGGTTCGCTGTGTTTTCCCAGCTGGAAAGCCAACGAGCTCGCAACTAGAGGATCTGCGTATCCTGCATTGTGCGGTTTAGGGTTCAGTGTCTGGTGAGCATAGGGTTTGTGGGACACTAGGGTTGAAAGCTCAGGATCTCGAAGCGATTTCATATTTAGCTGGGTGTGGCGCAGGTCTCATGTGATCTGCTTGTGTATTCTGATAGTCGCAGTCATTGAGCTAGCATATTTGCTTGCGCATGTCTCCACATCTCGGTACTGGTATCTACATAGGTGGCGCCGCCACGCACATGATGACGTTGCAGGTCCCGATCAACATCAGCGGAAATCACTCAGCGGCCATCACTGGCATGGAGCCTCGTGGGGAGTTAGGATTGTGATTCAAGAGTTTCGGGACTTTAATGCAGGCAAGGCTGGATACAGGGAAAACGTGATCATATATGCTCAACTCGAAGCTTTGGGAGAGAGCCGACATTGTTAAAGCAATAACCCAAGGCTCTTGCAGAATGTAGTAGGAGGGGAGGTTCGTCCATGCGATCACCAGGGTGCCCAAAACCAAACCAAGGACATGGCGGTACATCGATCACTGGTGGTCCTTCGACATATTTAGCGCCCATTGGGTTTTTTCTGCTAGATGTTTTGCTCTCGGGCTGGGAAGCCCCTGGAGTCCGTGAGAGCGGTCTTCCAGGATCCCTCCTTCCCCGACAGTAGCGGTTCCTGAGGCTAGAAAAAGGTTCGGGCTGAACTCTAAGCCCTTTTGCAGGCAGCTTTGGCCCTGCATCCTCCGAGTTTTGCGGAGTCCTTGCTTTTTGATGCAGCTTTGGCCCTGCTGCGGGGTTTATTGGCCGTCCGAGGTTACCATCTGCCATCGTGACAGCAGCATGCGCTTGTGGAATTGGGCCACGCGGCGCCTGGGCGACTTCCTTGGGGGATAAACTACATTACCTCAACCCACCAGAACCTACTTTTTTCCAGGGTCCCTATAAACCCCATAGTAGCATTAAAAAATATCGAAAAGTGGGTTTGGGTAGGTTAGGGTACAGGTGGTCCTTGGTGACCTGAACCCCAAAGCCTCAGACTTGTCAGTCCCAGTCCCAGTAGACTTCAGGGTTTAGGGCTTCAGGGTCTAGGGCTTCTATTCCCAAGGTCCCTCAAGCCTTAAGAATCCCACCCCCTCCAAAAGAAGATACGCAAGGTAGCCCTACTCCCACAAGAGCAAGCTAAAAGGACCTGCGAGATCCGCTCCAAGTTTGGCGGGGATCCTCCGACCGCTGTGGCCATACATCCGCTGCCTGACGGCTTAGGTCAAGGGGTTAGGTCTTAGGGTTGAGGTCGTAGTCTGGCTAGACTTGAGTCCAGCAGCAAAAGGGTTTAGGGGGGTTCAGGTTTTACGGTTTAGTGTTGTAGATGGTTATACGGTTGCGGCCTCGGTGAGTTTATAGAAGGGTCTTCGTAGACTTGAAGAGACACTTCGGTGAGGGGACCCGTTGAAGACGAGCCCAAAGAAGCTCAGTGGTCAGGGTGGAGCAGCTTCAGGGCTGAGAATTTTGGGGTATTGGTGGGTTGTCTCCGGGCGGAGTCTGCTTTGGGGGCAGGGCTTTTTCCGGGTTAAGGTCGTGACGGGTTCTGCTGCAGGCTGGGCTGCCTAAACCCAAAGCTCTGAAAGAGCCCTAAACTCGAACACCCTCAAGGGCAATGCAGGAGCCGTCAAAAACGCCCTGATGCAGGTTCGGCTACTACTTGGCCATGGCCTTTGCAGAGAAGCTGCGATTCTACCATATCCTGATCAAGGTCCTCCATCCTATCGGGCCGAACTGCAGGGTGTTTACGGTGTTTTTTTTTTGGGGCGGTACCTGGCTGACCTATAGAGTCTCCCAGACCTTCAAGCGATTGCACAAGTCCTGATGCAAAAAAGGGAGTTTAGTAAGTTTAGGGCTTCTTTGAAGGCTTAGAGGATCTCTGGGCTCTGAAAAAGAAACAGGGCTTCGAGTTCTGAAGGCCTTCGACCCAGAGCTCGGGAGATGAGGGTGTCGCATGCTCTGTTCTGTTTTCTATTATATGTGGGTTTAGGGTTTAGGGTTTGGGGGGGTAGGTTGACATCGAAGTTAGAGCATGTCATGTCATGTATGCATGCATGCATGCATGCCTGGTTAGTAAAGAGATAGTGACAGCGGCTAGTTCGAGTTGAGAGTGTATATCCTGTAACCCATACCCTAAGCGTTCTCTGAACTTAACCCTGCAATGCGGGCTCGTCCTAGCTAGGTGGGAGGCAAACAAAACGTTTGTCGGCCCGGCCGACTTGCAAGTGATTCCAATTCCAATCTGTCAGAGTCTTGTTTCCGAGCCGAAAGGCTCACAGCGCCCGATCTTTCTGCGAGTCACGTGATGAAGCTATGACAGCTATGACCGTTGAGCAGATGTCTGGAGTGTTAGTATGAAGACTTCTGCTAGTCTTATTTCAGGTAGAAGGCTTTTCTTCAGGGATTCGAAGCCTCAGCGGCTTTGAAGCTCAGCCGAAAAGTCTTGGCCTTTAGATGCGCACCATGGCAGAGGGCGAGGGCAGGGACGGGACTCGCGGGGTCTTCTTGCGCAACATCCCCTCGAAGTGTGATCTCCAAACTTTGAGCAACTTCCTGATGGCAAAGGGTCTCACGGATTTTGAGATAGAGATGGCCCGTTTCCCAGATGGCAAGTCACGGGGATATGCTGTGATCCGTTGCTGCGAACAGTCTGCGGTGCGGAAGCTCGTTGACAGCGTCCACAGCCAGTTCGTCCCGGGCTTTCAAAAGAGAACTCCACTTTTCTGCGAGAGATTGCTGGGCAAAGGGCCTCGACGATGTCAGAGTGCTGGCTTCGTGCCTGTTTCTGGTGGAGCCTCGAGTGGATCTGAGATGAAAGCCGCCTCCAACGTAGCTGCCACGCAGGCAGCATCTGTGGGTGCCGGTGAAATGGTACCCCACGGAGCCAGCAAAGGCAGTATCATTTTGGACCATCAACCAGCTTGTACGACAGTCTTCAATGCCGACGGGAAACTCAGTTTTTTCCTTTAGGCACCAGGGCATGTCTGGGTGAGAGTCGACGTCTCACCGGTATTAAGTTAGTGTGGCACGCGCCGTGTTTTTTTTCCGGATGTTTATGCTAAATTGGGGACTTTCTCATAGTGTGTATGCAGGCACGCGCCGCCTGGTGCCGACAGGGTACAGTGGCTTTTAGAGAGCCGCAGACCAGACCCACCTATGAAACTGCAAGCCCTGCAGAGGTACCGAGGAAGATAGTTCCAGAAGAACTGGTCCACAGGTTAATTTCAAGCTTCGGTGGTGGTGGTACTGTCCTGATGGCTGCTCTCAAATGTTCTATTGTGTGCAGGATCAAATCCCGGCCCAAAAACACGCCAGGTTTGATTGAGTCCGTCCGTTAATTTGATCACAATTCGTCGCTCGCATGCGCCTGGCTGAATATTCTGCTATTGGCACGGATCAAAATTTGAATCCTGATGCTTTGTCGTCCATCGTGCCGTGCAGAGGGAAGCACGCACCTGATCGGTGACCTCGAATCTATCTCATTACACACCCTTCCGACTTCTGACTCAGGCCAGGCCTCCAGTCGCACTGAAACGCTACTACGGTCTATATATTCATGGTTTGGGTTCTGGGTTCCGGAAGTCGGAGAGCTGAGGAGTGCAGGAGTCCTCGCAGCTGCTAGAAATCTGCACTGCGAGGCCTCCGGAACTGATTTCCTTTCCTTCGCTGACCGCGCATCTCTCGGAGAAAAAATTCTCCGCCCGCCCCCCCACCCCACTCACTTCAGCTGCGGGGTTCCTGAGTATCGTTATTCTCATGACCATGGTCATGATCGTGGTCACCGTCGCCCTCACAATCATGGTCACCACCACAAGAGAACTCACGATTACCTGTGCTGTGGGGATTGTCTTGTTTGGCTTTCTGTGCTTCACGAAGCCGTCTGCTGGTCTCTTCTGAATTCTGACACGTTGTGCTCCTGTTGCTCCCAGCACGAAAGCATCACAGAATCCAAGCATGTCAGTGGCCCTTTCGCCCCCAGTCATCCCCCAAACCCTAAACCCTATACATCGGATGACAGGACATCAGGCTGCACAAGGAGATTAACCTCCGGGGCGTTGGGCTTCTGAAGTTCACCCATGGGGGTCATCTTCTGGCAGTCACCCAAGGCCGGCAGAGTCTTCTTTATAGGGCCATAGGGCAAGCTCCTGGAAGCGCGACTCGAGGATGCCAGAGTTTGGGGAACTGGGAGTTTGCGAGCTGAATTGCTGTTGGCAAAGGGTAGTTCCAGATGCTCTTGGATCTCTAAACCCTAAACCCTAAACCCTCAACTGCATAGGCAAGTCCATCTACATCTACTCTGTCCGGACGCTGGAGAAACTTGCCACTCTCTCAGGCCTCGTCCAGCTCATGTGAGTAGGGTTTAGGGTTCAGGGTTTAGGCTTTAGGGAATAGGGGGTTGCATGTCGAGGGCGATGGCATTTAGGGGTACAGGGTGCGGTTGCTCCTTGATACTTGGCCCCTCTGGCACCTAAGAGAGTTCCAAGTTCAAAGGGCTTTACCCGCCTTGTTTCGGGAGCTCATAACAGCTGGGGGGGGGGGGTTATGATTGCTTTGATCATTGCCGTGAAGCTGCCTTGCCACAAGCTCAATACTTACTTAGACAACTCCATCTTGCAAACTTGAAAGCCACAAGATCCACGAGCGAGTAGAAGTATTTGAGCATATCGGTTGCAGTTGCCGTACCGTCGAAATCCTAGCCCCGAAGGACACACAGAAGTGTTGTCAGTGGCAGTGCTGAGTAGCCATGCTTTCATCCTGACAAGATCGCTCTAGACGAGAGGACCAGGATCTTAGAAGCAAGTTGAGGGGCCTTTCTACGCCTTAAAATTTAGGGTTTAGGGTTTAGGGTTTAGGTTAAAACCCTAAACCGAGACGAGAGTCCAAACCCGTAACGAAACCGAAAAGTCGAACCTGAATTCGGCACACGGCCCGGAGGCCACAATCAGGAAATCACTTGCCTCAGCTTTGACCCGGAGGAGCCGCTTCTGCAGCCCATCGTTAGGCTCGCTCTCACTCCCTCTCTCTCTCTCTCCCTCTCTCTCTCTTTGATTGTCCCTCTCTCAAACGTATGTATATAGAGTTTAGGGTTATGTATGAGTGTGTATTTATATATATATATATATATTTTTTTTATTTATGTATTTAATATATATATATATATGGATGGCTAGTCCTCTAAATTAGGGTCCCTTCTGAGGTCCCGAAAATAGTACGGCATCAGTAAAAGAGGACACCAAAAGGGGACCCGAATTAAATACGAACGTAAGGTATAAATTAAGGGTAGGTTAGCGGTTAACCTGAAACTTGTTTGCTGTGCCTCACAAATGGTCTTTGCTACTGGTTACCTTTGAAAGATTTCTCTGCCGGTAGTTAGCACGTTGAGCATACAGAAAAGCCCGGCTGTGGCACTGAATGAAGCTATGAGGCAGAGGCATAATTCCACAGGGCCATCGGTGTCTATCTGCGGGCGGGGGTGGGGGGTGGGGTTCTGAATGTTATGGATACTGTATTCTCATGTTGTAGGGTACTAAAAGTACAGTATGTTATACATGTCTATCGATGTATCGGTCTCTTCATCTATCTATGCCCATCTGTGTATGATGATAATTCGCTGTGAGCGATTCGACTATTCAGCGTCTCGTTTCGAGTCTCCCATTGTCTGAAAACTCTTGGCTTCTTGCCTCGAGAGTTTTGGCGACTCCAGCAGGGAAGTGTGGGTGGAGTCTCTGGCATGAGGAGGAGGAGGAAGCAAAGACGAGGAGGAACACAGGCAAGAGAGAGAGAGAGAGAGAGAGAGAGCGAGAGAGATGTGTCCGAGAGAAGGTAATGAGAGACACCGAGGCGCATGTGACTGAGCTGCCCGGTCTTACAGCGCAAACATGCTGTTGACTTCCCGTCATGCCGAGTTTCTGTGCTGCAGAGCCGGAGTTTGGAGAGATCGCCGTCCCAAACTATTCAGTCAGCTCAGGCAATGCTCGTTTCATGCCTCCTTTAGCAGCTAGGGACGGCTTGCACAGATCCGCAGTGCAGCCAGACAGCCGAAGGACCATACCTTGTGGAGCACCTCGCAAGATGGAAAGCTGATCAAGCGTCTTGGGATTGTCATCATTCCCCCTTCAGGCTTGTAGAGAGGCTTCATGTTGAATCCGTGCTACACTTTCTAAGCTGCAGTAGTGCACTACCTCGAGACCTCGAGTTTACGTTTACACCGCCCGATGTTTTTGCCATTGGCATTCTTTATTGCGGTCGGTGTGTGTGCCCTTGGTTTCTTGCCGTAGAAAACCTAGCTTGTCCGGTCAGGGCAAGGGTTACCGGACACCGGAACCCCGAAAAACCCCCAATGACCAAATCCTTGACAACGTACACTTCCCAACCCTAAACCCTAAACCGAAGACGTGGTTGATCAAAGTCAGCGACTCCAATCAGGTCCAAACCAGGGGTTGGTGAAGTCGTGAGGCTGATCAACCTTGTTTAGCACAGTCACTTGTCTTTCGAAGTATCCCCAAACAACCTCGCTAGTGGGCATAGATCCTCAACCATACGAGAGCAAAAAAAACCGAAGACGCAGCAGCTGAGAAGAGCACAGACCGAGCAGAGGTAATGGTGTCCTGCTATTCTCAACCGGCCTGAAGATCGACGGGTTTTTGCCTATTTATAGACCTGGCCCTTGATGTCTCGATGGATCACATATGATACTGAATATACATCCTGCTGAAGTCGACGTGAGTTATGTATGCCAGGCTAGGGAGGTATTCGTTCCCCCTGGTTTGTATCAAATTGCCCCGTCTGAGACCACCGCCATGCATGCGTTGTAGAGAAGCAGCGTGTATTTTGATTCAATACGAAGCCTGAAATGATGCAGCATACACAATATATAGTGTACCATGTGTCGTGTCGGATATATAGTATATAGCAGTATTGTAATTAAGACAACATATAAATAGAATATACGGTCTACAACGATTTGTGATGTACGTTGTATGATATATGATACATACATTTTTATGTTTATGTATTGCATATTATTGTTATTAACAGTACTGTATACTAATATAAAGATAGTCTTTATTCTACAGCATTTACTATTTCTGTTTTAAATGCATGATAAATAACCCGTTAAGCTGCAATCAAAACCTTATAACACCAGACAAGATAACACCTGTCATATCATATGATATTAGTTTGTTGTAAGATTATGAAGTATAAGCTTATACGGCACTACTTTGCACTGCAGAATGAATATAGAATATGGAATACAGAATATAGAATATAGAGTCTATAGCATGTAACTTATCATATATAATCTACAGTATAAAAACTATCTATATTACGCGGGACCTGCGAGCAAGTGAAGGTGGAATCTCGCGACATTCCGCAATGAGTCCAGTCACGTCGAGACTGGCTCGGAACGCCTGGCCGTGAGCGTCATTTCACCGGACCAGGCGGGAAGGTGTATTGCTTAGGGTTCAGGGTTTAGGGTGCTCAAGACTTTCATGGTGTATGGCTGAGACCTTGGTGGTTCTGCGATCACGAGAACTATGATGACTATTGATGCATACCTTGTTTGCGAGATTCTCGCAGGACAAGCTCCACTGTTCTTGCAGGCTCCCGTTTCTGACCTGAATCTTGCATCTCATGACCGGCCGTCAGAAAGTTCCGTCTGCTCTCGGGAGGCGACCTGCAGCATCTTCAGAAATGGAAAGCAGCTGCTCCAAAGGCTCCCGGCCTTGTTCTGCAAGAGCTGAGTTCTTGAAGATTCAAAGGAGATGGAATCCGGAGAAGGATTCCGAAGCCTGCAACCCTTAACGCCCAACTAACAAGCCCCCCAAAAAACTCAATGCCGAAACCTCTGGAAGTCCCTGGTGAACCAGACCACTATGGCACTATGGCTTGCTGGAGATCCCTTCTGACTGATTCAGACATCTCCTGTTGCCAGATGCTCACTTTGTTTTTTTCGTGGGCGCAAGGAAGTCGTATTACACACTCGCATCTGGGTATATCTGTATACAAGTATAGTTGTAACTATGTGTGTGTGTATATATATATATACAAAAGGGAGGAGAGACGGCACCATGCTATGTGCAGTGACCTCCTCCAGAGAACTGCGAGGTTCTCGCAGAGCGACTTGGAGTATGAGGTCGAGCTGGAGTCCAACGTGAAAGCGCCACGGAGCAAGCTAATGGTGTAGAGGTTTGGGGTTTAGGGGTTTAGGGTTTGGGGGGTTTAAAATGTGATGTGCGGTGCGAGAGCCTAAATCTGCAAGTAGTCAGAATCATGATACACACACATGTGTGTGTTTACATTCTATATATATATATATATATCTCTCTCTCTCTCTCTCTCTCTCTCTCTACTGACCGTATAGCAAGCGCAGGCATTAGCAAAGGGTAGTTACATACATTCTATGAACCGATGGAAGATGAAGAGGGCGGCTCTGTAATTGGCAAATGCCACACTCAAACAAACAAGCAAGCAAACAAAC